GCGTCGGAGAACGCTTACCTATAACGACTTGGTGAACGTCGAGGAGATATTGGTCCAACTGGTAATATTTTGATCTTAGAAACAGTACGAGGCCCCGTTGCAAGCATCACACACGTATTTCTTCTCGCTTTTGCACCTCTGAAGCAGATTATTATATCCGCGACTTCCAAATGGCGCTTAGAAGGATATTCTAATTTAGTAACGAAATATCAAAAAGAAACTTTGACACATCCACAATGCTTTGCACAGATTAAAATGTCAGCGTAGTAGGAAATAATTTAGTCTTCCAAATCTCAGCCAACATCAAGTGAATGGAAAACCACTAGGATCTAAAACATTGAGTTTACAGAAAATCAAGTGCCCTCTGTAGTAGTGTAGGTGGAAGTCTTGTTTATAGAAGGCATATTATTTCCAAGGAAACAGGCTTAAACTATGGCAATCGGTCAAGTTGCGAATCATCGAAGTTTGTCCAGTTTCGGGTTGGTTCTGAGAATGTACATGAGTTGTACAAATAATAGAAATAAGTGGCTTACCCCTAGCTGGTTCTGTTGCGCACAACAGTAGTAAATCATCTGTTCTCTTCTAATCACAATGGTACATGCATCGGTGTTGTTGTACGGATTGAGTAAGTTTATAGCAACATTAAAATACCTAACGATAGTTTATAGGCTTTTCTAGAAATTTCTTAATACCCAGGCAACAAATGACACCCCTTGGTGTTCCGACGGTTTTTGGAAGTCGCTGGAAAGATACTTAAGATAGCCATGATTTTCCTCTGGGTGGTTTGATTTGATGCATCGAAGTTTTTTCCCTACTTCCTGAGGCCAATCGATAGCTTATCTAAAACAGAACCTGTAGCAGACATTACCCATAGGAGTATTTCCCATTCATAATTTCTTACCGATTTCTCGTTTTGCAACGAAATACTAATAGTGTTCAGGAGCGGATGAGGGTTTAGCCAGTGGGGAGTCGAAGAAACGCTTCTGCCTCAAATAACTGACAACGCACGCAGTCTGCAGCACCATTTTTGACAAACAGTTTGTTGTTCTCTAATTTTAAATGGCCGTCATAACTTCTGAGTACTGTTTGGAATGAGAGAATATTGAAACTAGAAGGTGGATATCGTGATAACCTTTGCAGAACTTATAGAACTTGGTCAAATGCTAACGGCACAATGACTGTATAGTGGACGAGTGTTTTTCATCATACACAAGAATTGTATAAAGGATGAAGAATAAAGCTCTCAGTGTCGATCAATCCCTGAGGGATGCGCCATGGATTCGATTTCATTAAGTATCGTTAGAGGTGATTGAATGCATATTTGGCCTTCACAATGACTCGTGGTAACCAACCGACGTATCGAGCCAGTGCTGCTATCCTCCCAGACAAGTCTGGTACCAATTTGCCGACGCCGGAGAGATGGAAAGGGAGGAAAGGGAGAGAGTGTAGAAGAACATGGAGCATACACAAGAAAAGAGAAGCTCAGATTTTTTGTTTAAAAACGCAAACAAAAACCGCTTTATGGGACGGAGATCTCAATAAAAAAAACTTGGGATAAATAAAGACTGACCGAGTGGCAGGTCTGACATCGAAGGAAAGTCACAATGAACACAATGGAAAGTTAGATGTCGCCCACTCAGCAAAAAAAAAACGAAATTGGGCATCGTCGCAGGAGTGTTAGAGAATACTGAGAACTACTGGGTGAAGACAACATCCACTAAATTATGAAACAAGAAAGGAGTTGAGAAGTGTTAAAATATGCTTGAAAAGGGAAAAAACCTTGCAAATTGAAAGTCTTAAGTTACTGAGATAGGCGCTTCCAAACTCATTTTCACAAAATTTCCTTATCATACTGGCATGAACGCTGTAGGCGTAAAATAAAATTTGTTCCTCGTATTTTTGTTGAGCAAACGCGAGGTGTTATTATTCTTTATACACGAATAAGCTGACGTTTCGGCGGATTTCGCCTTCCTCAGAGCCTGGAAAGGTCAAGTTGAAAGCAATCTACTCGGCCAGACGCCTCCATAACCAAACAAAGAAACTCTAAACCAAGATTTCAATCACATTGAACACAGCTTTGCACACTCACCGCTTTCTATGAGCCTTTCACTGAGTATATCGCGTTAAGACCGACCGCACAGAATTCACATGGGAGAGTAATGTGCCCCTCCCACCAGAATAGCAGTCTTATATACTGCCCTATATCACGCGTGATAATAAGGCATTCTTCCCTGCGGTTCATTTTTGGATTTCTGGAGTTAATCCAGAATGCCTCAAAAGTTTTTGCGCCTGTGTTCTTGATTCTCGTGCTAGGATCGTGACACATACTTTAAAGTCTTCCCCGCTATGTCTCTGGGTCCCATGCGTGCCTAGCAGAGTATTTGGTCTATGTTTGCCGGCTAGGTGTTCTTTTATGCGGACACAGAGGACTCTGCCCGTTCCTCCTATTCGAATCCTAGGCCTCCAAACAACATCGCTAGCGATAGAAGGGTCCCGTTTATTCTACCCTTCATCTCAAATGATATAAGTATTGCTATAAAACGCTGCTTAAGAAGGGCGAGCTTGGAGAATTCGGTAAGCGTAGTTGAAATACCACCGAGTAATCTTAAGCGCCAGCTAGTTCGTAACCGCCTATATGACCGTCTATGTGCAACTCAAAATTGCATAATTTGCCCCAGTGGTAGAGACGGTGATTGCATGAGTTCGGGTACAGTCCATCTGATCTCTTGTAAAGCGTGCGGGGACGAATACGTTGGCGAAACGGGTAGACCACTCTGCGTACGTATAAAAGAACACCTAGTCGGCAAACGTAAACCAAATACTCCACTAGGCACGCATAGGACCCAGAGACATAACGGGGAGGACTTTAAAGTATGTGTCACGATCCTAGCACGCGAATCAAGAACACAGACGCGAAAAACTCTCGAGGCACTCTGGATTAATTCCAGAAATCCGAAAATGAACCGCAGGGAAGAATGCCTCATTATCACCCGTGATATAGGGCAGTATATAAGACTGCTATTCTGATAGGAGGGGCACATTATGTTTCCATGTGATTTCTGTGCGGTTGGGCTCTACGTGACGTACTTAGTGGAAACCTCATAGGAAGCGGTGAGTGTGCAAAGACCCTGTGTTCAGTGTGACTGAAATTTTGGTTCGGCATTTTCTATGTTTGGTTATGGAGGTGTTTGGCCGTGTAGATTGCAGTCAACTTGACGTTAGAAGGCGAAAAACGTCAGCTTGTGCGTAAATAAAGAAATGAGATAACATTTCGTGTTTGCTAAACAGAAGTAGAAAGAATTGTCCAATCAGCGTCGAGGTTAATAGAAAGTCGCACAAAGGAGTTATCGTCATTGAATTAATATACTGCATCAAAAAATTTAGTCAGCTTCGGTCAATAGAAAAGGTCCAAGCCATTTGCGTGACAACACTCGACCATAGCTCATAACCTCCCGCTGGAAAAGTTGAAGGAGTTCGGCTACGAAACTGCCTCATTCACCATACTCAGTGGACCTCTCAGCAATTGACTACAATCATTTAAGGCAGCCCGAGAATAATTTGAAAGAAAGGAAAAATTTTCAACAACTAAACAGCTGGTAACAGTACTTTTGAAGAATTTGTCCAGTCGTAACCTTAGAATATCTACTAAAATATATTGACTTGCATTTTGTTGGCAAAAATATGTGCAACACAATGAGCTTCATTCTAAGTAATTAAACTCTTTTTGTGCCTCCATGGTTAGAAATTCTCATTCGGAGACAGCAATTACTTTTGCAGCACGCTGTTTCGCTGATCTGTATTTGATAATTATATGTATGTATATACATATATATTTATATGCACAAATATATATGTATGTGTATATAAATGCAATAGGAAGCGAAGAAGACAGTGGTAGTGATGTCGGTTATCACGAGCACGGTGCTAGATCGATTTCGCTCCGAGCCAACCAAGCTTCTCATCCCTCCGGGTCGGGTAATTGGTGCTAGACTTGTCCGGGAAAAAAATTCACTCTCTTTAATCCAATTGGGAACGCTCCATCGCGGCTATCTCAGGACTCCAGGTAGAATCGACTCGACCAGCATTCTACGGCATTCAAGATGAAATGAAAATCCTCCAGCAGTAACCGAAGCCACACATAAAAGTTGGAAGATTTTCGTGGATAATGGATGCGAGGAAGCGAATTGAATGTGAGAAGTACTGAGATCCGCACAGCAAACATGAAGAAGGATCATATAAAATATAAAATAAAACATAAATTCAATTAACAAACAATTTCGCCTCAAGCAGTGGTTTCCCCCAAAATACGAAACAATTTACATACTGAGTAATCCAATGTGCTTCATGAAAGCGTACACATAAGTTCAAAGAAGCGCTAGTAAAAAAAAAGTAGAATCTCAAGGTTAAATGCAACCCACTTGGACTACTGTCAAACGCGTTTGCTGTGTTGCTCTTCGACAGCCGACTTAGAGGAATCATCGGTTCACACGTTTTATAATCACTTACACTTCGTACAATGCCGGGAGTCCAAGTCGTCATGGGCTTCTCTTGTACATCAACCGCTAAGGTACTCGGTTGTCTAAAGAGAAGTTCTGAGGGAAAAACCGGGAATGAAATAACGCGAAGCCAACCAAACTGGGTAAAGTTCATATTACAGAATAAAGCTGGGAAATACTTAGTAAAAATAGGAACAAGCATGTCATCGATGATACAAAGCCTATGGTTGAAGAAATGTAATTTTTGTAATAGAAATAGACAGTCCTCTAAATATTTCTGTGATTTGGAAAGTATTAGAGGAGTCGTCGAAGATTATCTTTTGGAAAAGTATTGAAATCGTAGTTGAGGTAGACTATTCGAGTTTAATGGTGTTTCAAAATCTCTAACGGAACTTCGGAACTTCGAGAAGTCAAAAAATTTCGAAAATCGAGAGCAAGATTCATCAATGGTTTCTTAACCATGCTGTAACGGTAAAGTACTGATATCGAAAGAAAGTAGGAAAGTCAAACATACGCTGAAGAAACTTGTATAGTTTCCACGTTTTCGGCAGGAACGTGCTGTTTTTCCTCTTGTTTCTTTTGTTTTTCTCTCTCTCGCCGTCGCTTCTCGTCCAGAACAGCTTGATCGGTTCGCGGAGGTTTCGGCGGTGGAACCACGGATGGTCGTCGTGGTTTGTCTTGATCTCCTTGAGTGAATTTAGTTACTACGATTGTAAAAACTTCTGAATTCAAGTGTTTATTTGCAACTGCGTAGTTTAGCACAACTTTTTCTAAAACAATAGAAGAAACAACGATATGTAAAAGTATCTTGCATATTACCACAGATACATGCCGGCGTGAGTGCCGATACTCAGAGAATGTGCCCTTTCATCTATTCCTGGACCTCACAAGACCATCGCCAAAAAACACAGGCTGGTCATCTCGTAAACTATCGGAAGACCGTTTAACATACAGTCAGGAGAAACTACTCCTTCAGCTTTGTAATGTAAGAGGAAATTTCTAGAAAAAACAAGGTTGTAGCACGCCAGGTGGGAAATGCTTGATTTGCAAATTTCACATGAGCTACTACTTTCTTCACACATGCGAGCTTTCGTGCTGATTTTGAAGGCCTTTGCTTCCAAATAATAGAAATTCATTTGCAAACTGCAAAAACAAAACCTGTTTTAACTCTTTTATTTACTACCTTTTTCTTCTTAATGGCGGGTTATGTTTCGAATTATAACTCATATGAAATGCTGAGATATTTGCAAAACTCCGGACCACAGGTGATGCTGATGGCAAAAAGATCGATAGAATTAGCAGAGAGACATGCAAAGCGAAGGACCTGGATGGTGTAGTGGTGAAGTGCGCTGCTCCCCGGTAAGGACAGCAGCGCGTGTTCGTTCCCCACTGCATACACCTGTGGTCCGGAGTTGTGCAAATATCTCAGCATTTCATATGAGTTATAATTCGAAAACCTGTTTTGTTTGCCATGGACATTTTCGAAGTTTTCTCTTGATTAACAAAAAAAGGCAGCCAGGTTGTTCATGGGGCGGTCGACTAGTGAAGAGAATGAGGTAACAAGCTGTTGTGTTATATCCTTCAATGGTTCTTATGCTATTCATAACGTTACCAAGATAAATGCCTTGGTTGAGAGGGCTCGAAGTAGTGGTTGATTGTCGGACAAACGTCACTTGTGGCAATTCATAACGTCGTTGCTTCACCGGCGCTGTGAAACACCAAACATCAGGTTGGCGGTACTGGAAATAGTAGTTGGAAAGACTTTCGAAGAGTTTTACATTCCATTCAGAGCTAGTCAGCGACTTTTGCGATACAATTTAAATCTCAGATTCCATCAAATTAGGGCAATTTGTACTTTTTGAAGCAGCAGAAACATAGATGTCCATATGTTAGATGTAACAGCAACTGACCACAGCGTACAGTGATCTATTAAAATGTTCTACTAAACAGGCAGAAGTGAAATCAATGAAATCAGTCAGTGTTTCTGCTCCGTACTCAAAAGTCTAATTCACCAATCATCTAAGCAATAAATTCTTTTTATCGCCGCACCCCTTTTTTGGACGTCTAAATAAAATAAACCCTGTATGAGAACATACTTTTTTTGAGATAGAGTTTCGTGGTGATGACAAAGTAATGACCGTTACCGTAATTCTCGACAGTAGATGACTCTGTCATAGTGATTTAGCACATTCACAATGATGCCGACTTTCAAATAACAGCCGATAGTTTTTCGATAACTAGATAACTTTATTTGTCGTCCTCAATTAAAAGTATCTGTTATAAATATATGATGAAAAAATTGGTTCATGTGCATGATAAAGATAAATCAACATATTAATGTCAGCATAGAGGATAGGGTGTCGATAGCACAGTGGTAGTGATGTCGGTTATCACGAGCATGGTGTTTTTCGATTCCGCTCTGGGCCAACCAAGACTCTCATTCCTCCGGGGTCGAAATTGGTACTGGACTTGTCAGGGAAAAAGATCACTCTCTGCGATACAAATGGGAACCCTCCAGCTCGACCATCTCAGGACTCCAAGGAGAATCGACTCGACCAGCATTCTACGACATTCAAGACAAGATAAAATGAGATTCCTCAAGCAGCAGCGGAAGCCACACATAGAAGTTGGAAGACCTTGGTGGATGACGGATGCGAGGAGACGAATCGAATTTGAGAAGTGCCGGGATCAGCACAGTAGACGTGAAGACGGCTCATACAAAAAGCGAAAAAAATGTCAGCATATGTAAGGTTTTACAGCTTATATTAAGTCTATTCCTGTACTCAACACATATTTAAATTGTTGGCATTACAGAAATTAATCTAATAGCAGGCAGTAAAGAAAAAATTAACAGTCTGTTTCTGTACTTATCTTACTCGCTCATTCCGTAAGATAACTATGATTCAGAACAACAATTAGAATTGAGAGAACAATCAATTGCCAGTGAAATTACCGGTCAACGGACTCATTCTAAGAAAAGTTTCTTTCATAGTTCTACGTAACTAATAATGCTTTCCTCTGCCGAGGCTCGCCACAACAAATGTGTTAGCCAAGCCATCGATCGAATCTGATCAAAAAATCTGTGGAAATAGTTCACTGCAACAAAATAAACCATCGGAAACAAAATGACCCTCCCCGAAGTCATACATGCCACAATGCTCCATCACAAATAAGACTCAAAGAGGACACGTTGTCACAAATGTGCCAATGCAGTTTAGGTTAATGGAGATGTTCCACTTTAACTTGGAAGGGTAAATTATCCTCGACCATGTGAGTCATGTCTGATCCACGTCAAAGCTTATCAGAGTGTTAGCATATATCCAATATTACACCTACTCATTCAGCATTTCTTTATTTACGGATAATCATGAAAACCTTCTTATTCTTCTCATGAAGCCTTCTCACTCATCTCTTTTCGAAGCTTCTTGCATACTACCTATTTGTGCATATCACAAACTTCTTACAAAACCTAGACAATTGAGAGGACCGAACCCCGATGGGAATTAAGTTTTATTTTATCTACTGATACCGTAGCTGGATAATATATGGTTGACAAAAGCAACATCTATTCTCCTTTATAAAAAGTTTTTAATATAATGGGAAACCAAGCCACCTTCTAAACGTTCATCTTCTTTACACTACACAAAAGTACTAACCACTCTACTATCACATCTGCACTATGAGAACACAACTCTTCGAATCCCTATTCAACCACAAAAAGGGACTCAACGTCTTCATATCACTTAGTCAAAAATGCTCACCGTTTCACATCAGTGGTTAATTAAGTTGAGCAGCTGCGATTAAAAAAAACGCTTATGCATCTATCGAAAATTGCAATCAAACTTATGTTTATCCAACGAGATCGCCTTTTGAACTACTGTTACGAGGGTAGAGATTGGGGTTAGCGCAGCTAGTGATGCCGTCGCTTAGGAAGCAAAAAGCGCTACTTTGACCTTCATCAACGCTCTTTTCTTGAAAACACTTTAGCTCTGCTATCTCCAAAGAAGCATCGACTGAAGCAGCATTCTACGACATTCATAAATAAGACAAAATCCTCAAGTAGCAGATGAAACAACACACGAAGTATTCGAAGACTGGTGAACGGTGGATGCGAGGATAACCAACTGAACGCAAGAACTGCTGGGATCCGCACAGCAGATGCGATGACGGGTCAGGTAAAATCGAAATTGAAAAAAACACCAGAATGGAGATTAATACTTTAAAAAAATGTTAAGAAACTCAATGGAATGGGAGAATTCCAGAAATGTACTCATGTATTGAGATAAAATATTATTCCTTAAATTATGAATACGACATTATTACGTGCACTTTGGAAATTTAATAAACACGCTGAGCGCATGAAGGACAATATTAGCAGCTTTCCAACCTTTCGCAAAAAAGAGTAGATATGAACAATGCCTGAATTAATCAGCAACGTCTTACGATGACGACGTAGTTGTTTCGAGAATTTTGCGGAAAAACTTAGAGCTTTCTTAAAATGTTTTACGTTTTAATTTAAAATAAAGAACCGTCAAGCGTTCGCCGTTGATTAATCGTTGAGCGATCCGCTACACATTCAACTTCATCAAGCATCGGAGAGGTGGTTTAATGCGTATCTGGCCTGTACAATGAATTTTGGTGGCTCACCTATGTGACAGCTCCCAAAGGTTTAAGTCTCGTCGTGGCTGGGTGTTCCTGAGTGTCGGACTGCAATATATAACGCGGTTCCATCTCCTGGCAGTCTCCCAAGCTGAGAAGGAGCCCAGCGTTTCCATCACGAAACCCATCTAAGAGTTAACCAAAACCAGGATCTACCACCATCCTGGTATCAAAGTCGCATGGTGGCGAATACCCCTCTGATCCACAAGGGCTGCTACTGCCTGTGGAGGTGAAGTCCTAGGGAACACTTTGGTCATGTTGACCTCGGGATTCAACAAAACCACAATGGCCTAACCAGAAAATCTCCGAAAATTGAGATTGTGCTGGGTCCGGTACAACTAGTGAGGACGGGCCATTCATGTACCAAGTAAGTCAGTCTACTTGACAAGTCAGTCTACTACCCTCCCAGATAAGTCTGCTACTAATTTGGGGACCGCGGAGATATGTAAATGGAAAGGCATGGTGGGGGACCGAGCACAAGGTCGAAAGAACGATCGATCCTTCGTGAATTGCAGAGCACTCCAAACACTGCGTTACTCGCGCCTCATCGTAAACGGTCTTGCGTATGGCCTACAAAATAATTGGACGATCTCAAATATAACTATAAAGCATAGCAAGAAGTCAAGCTTTTCGGCTTAGAAATCCGACTGATATTGTCTTTAAAATGGACGAATAAGCTTTTATTTCACTTCGTCGGAATTAATCATTACGTATGATCGACAGAGTGATATAAATTTCAGAAACCGAAATGAGTGCTAATTGTGGTTAAAAATTGACGGTATAAACCATGAAAATGGACCACCCAAGATATTAAGGTGCTCTTGAGGAACATAAGTTACCGAAGATCCTGCATCGATGACCATCAAGTGAATTCGATAAAGCACGAGGAACTTTGCATTCGTCCCTAACGGTCGTTCGAATTGCTCAATTCTGCGCTCAATGAAGACACCTCACCTTTACGATCATTATGAAGCATGCAGACGAGTGTGCCAGCAGAGACGGTGTTGCTTGTATGACTAGTTAGACCAGTATATTATAGTTTATTTCACATGACCGACTTTCTGTTAACCTCGGCATTAATTGATAATTCAATGTTTTTCATCAATAAGCAGACACGAGGTTGTTAATATAGAATTTATTAGAACACAATTGCTGACGTTTCGGCGGTTTCGCCTTCTTCAGAGCCGTTTATTTGTCGTAAGTATTTAAGTTAGTTGGTGGATAGCCGCCGCACAGAGTAATACATGGT